CGAGTGTCGCCAACACTGAGAAGCTACCATATCTCTCTGACCGAGGTGGTGCCCGATACGCCTGTTCGATAAACCTTCTTCTTTGAAGCCTACTATACGCCCCTTCTCAAAGTCCGGCAACTGTTCGTACTTATGCCGGTTTCATCTCAGAGACATCTCTAGTCACAATATCCTCCATCCAAGTCGACAGATTCGTTTGATAGCTCTATGTACAAGCAATCATGTTAAACTTTCAGGAGCACATCTCGTATGCTTATAATGAACTTACCCTTGTCTCATTGGCGTCGAAATTTAAATCATTTGCATATCTTTTACCAGCCTACATTTCTGCAGTGTTACCAGCCTACATTTCTGCAGTGTTCCGTTATTGTGGCTCGATTTCTTCTAGGTGCATATATATTTTGTGACAGGTATATTTAAATTTAAACTGAATCCAAACCCACTGGCGCCTGGTAGAGATATAGATTACTAAGGACCTACGAGTCTACTACTTGGAACTCAAGGCCATCGGTTATCAGTGGGAGGCAGCGCAATACATATAAACAGGTTATAATTAAATCGAGGTGGATTTGGTGTCCTGTAACGCATTTGTTCACAAGTGACCTGTAGGTTGAAAGTAATTGGAGGTGAACCCATAGGTCATCTGTATGAAACAGCGCAGGATGTTTAGATCAAATTTTATGTTAAAAATTAAAATGAAGCATATTGGTGCCCATCGAGAGGGTTAATCATCGGTGACCTGCTGGTTAATATTCACGTTTTAATTGACCCACAAGTGTACTGTTTTGCTCTAAATTTAAACTTTTGAAAACAAGTTGAAGGACAATGAAGCAGTTCAAAACTCTTAAGGGTTAAGTGTCACTTCGGGTCAATTCTTAAATTATCAGTGTGAGGATTATTTAATTTCGGTGTAATTTAAAAAAAAACTTATTTAAAATTAAAATAAATAACTTGTATCCAACAAGACTGTTAATCATGTCCGACAAGACTCTCGATTATCATCTAAGGTGTTTTTTTTTTTTTTTTTTTTTGGTTAATTAACCAGCCATCTTGTTATTTTCCTCTTACTTTTATTTTTACTTTCGTCGGTTTACTCTAGGATACAAATGAATTAATGTGTTTAAGCGCAAAGTTCTGGAATTCCGGATATTTCTTTTGGCAACTACGGCTGACCGGTCACCCTATTATTTCTTCCTGCAACTGAATTATTTAATTATCTTGCAAATGAATTACTTAATTATCATTTAATTGCTTCATGAAAATATTAGAGCCTGAGCCAAAGCTTACTTTGCTGTGATTTGCTTATATTTAATATTTTAACTTGAGCAAAAGCATTTTTTCAGTGTTTTCCCTCAAGCAGCCGCTGTAGCATTTTTATCTTACTGAATAGTCGTGTAGCTGTCAGGCTGACGTGTTAATACAAAGGTTTACCTTACTTTTAAGTTTGTATTTACCGTACTTTAGAAGAAAAGACTGGGCGATAAGTCATCTACCTGTCTTCTAAGAATGTATATTTAAAATAGTAGTGCAGAACTGTCCAACTTTTGACCTACAAGTTGAAGGTTACCTTGGGCTGAGCAGTAGGACATTGTGACATGGGCTACGAATCAAATTTAGACAGATTTTAATTATTTAATGATTTTAAATGAAAATCAAATCGAAAGAAGCTATCGGCTTTACAAGCCTGTTGGTATTCGTAATCTACAGTTTGAAATCACTCTGCTTCAATCTTATACGGCACTGTTGAGGAACAGTGCAGTAGATTTCCATACTTAAATTATAGATATTTAAATTAAAATTAAAAAGAAGCACAAGCGGTGTTTATAAAGGCGCTTGATCACCGGTGACATATAGATTGGGAGTCACTTAGGGTCCAATTAACACGCATGGTTGCCTAAAACATTTGATGCTAAATACCGATTTTAGTTGTCAAAAATATCTGTCACGTCACCATGAAACGCTTCATTGCACTCATTTTTGAAATATACTCTTTGTTCAATTCTTAATGCTCCGGATTGAAAGAAACATCATTTTTCTCAAAATTGAAAAAAATCTCTGTCCATTTCCATAAATTTCAGCTTAGTACTCTGAAGGCGTTTTAATTTTACAGCTGTTCAGCTTCTGTATGTTTTTTTAAATCATATTTCGCTGAATATTTCACTGATATTATTTACTGAATATTATCGTATTTCATCGAATAGCACTTTACCCGATAATTCTTCTTAATCAAAATAACATTTTGTTGCAAAATGTGAGTTTTCATGCACGATATTTTCAATGTTCGTTATTTCCCGTAATGATCTATTTAAAATTTCAGAGATGATTGAATCTCACTCTCCATTCTTCTAAGCGGATGAAATTCTGTGAATTCTTGCACGATTCATTCTTTTTTTTGGACGAGATCCCTATGCATTTAGAAATACGATTATTTGAATACTGAACTGTTTCTGATCCCGTGAAAATATCTTCATGACTTTAAAGAGGAGCATGAAAAAAATTATATGATCCTTTTACAGAATTCGAGAATATTTACAAAATCCTGGAAGTCTGGCCATTTTAGCATGATAAGAAAACAATTTTACTACACCTACAGAAAATCAAAACGCCTTCATAACGGAGCCCAGCATAGCGTTGTCGTACCCTTATGCAAGTCGGCCGCGGTTCGAAACAATTGCAACGCAAAAGAGAGGTGCGCAATTACATGCTATAATAGTTCCATACAAAAAATTTCAACGTTTTACGGATGATTACTTTTGAATTATGTGAGATGCACACATACATACATACTTATGTACAGACATCACGGAAAAAATTTCTTTTGGTTCCATTTTAAATCCATATTACAATCCGTTTTGGAAACAGAGTCCTTTATTCTGTACGTACGTACAAACGTCACTCAAAAAATTCGTCCTGATGGATTCGGGAACTGTCGAAATGGATATTTCTGTTGAAATATAATACCCAAGATTTTTGCCATTTCAATACTTCCTTTACTTCGTACAAGAAAATAAAAAATGAAAGAAAATAATTTTTTAATTATCACAGACAAAATTTTTAATCTGAAAATTTCAGGTTCTATGCAGCCTTAAATTTCCAGATTAAATATTTTGTTTGCGATAATTTTAAACAGAGACCCTCATTGGGCCTGGGATATTAACCGTTGGATTATATTGGGCCTGGGATTATAATCTTGGAGCCGAAATCCAAGGCTCCAAGATTTTCAAGAGCCACTGCTCTCTTATTATCATTATTATTTACGTGTTCCGCCCTAAGGCACTACACGGAAGGGATGGATGCCTTAGCGGAGGGCTTCCTAAGGGAAACTGGCTCATATTAACACGTTACACATGGGGAAAACCACGAAAACGCCCATGCAGCCAGCTCGTTCGTAAAATTCGAACCTAGGACCGAACTACCAATATTCACTTTTCCGCTCGGCCGCTAATCACTGCACTAAAAGCAAAGAAATTTAAGCAGCAGCTATTAAATATAAATGTGTGCAAAGAGTAAATATTTTCGGAATGGTATTCAAATCTAATCATGCTCAGTATTACGGTTCAAATTCTGAAAATATTTATTAAAACACTAAATAGAACAAAAAATATGTCTTAAGCTTATTCTTCTAATTTCTATTAAAATTTTTTGTGTTACATTCAAAAAATTAATTCAATTATAATTCCTTTTCTAAAATACAGTCAGTCATTTAACACAGACCATCACTGTATTTCTTTTCTCAAAAATAGAGCGTCTACTTTTGAGTAGTTTGCAGAAAGTTCTTTATGAAAATCTGGATGTTTAGTATTAATATTAAATACTTTTTTCTTGGAGAGAAAGATTCAACTCATTCATTTTTTAAAAATACCAGCTAGAGAGAAGATATCAGGCATACCAATTTTGATAGCAAAAATAAGTGGAGAAAATAGATGTTTTATTTAGAAGAAATACTGGAAGTTCATCTTTTAATTTTAAGGCTCTTTTTAGAACTTGCGTTGACATACGTTGACCATCTTTATTTCAGGCTAATAGAATAATGATCCAAAATCTGAGCGTATTTCCTCATATAGAATACCAATGTGTCTAAGCATTCTTAAAATTAGAATATTCATTGTTATAGAAACTTTTGATGAAATCTCATTTTCGAAAAATCGTAAATCTTCATGAACACACAGCGAATATTTTTGGCATTTGGACAAGGTTTTTACACTTCTTGTATAAACTTAAAATATTTCTGATGAAACTCAGCATTGCTCAAGCTGGCAAAACATAGCAAGCTCCAGTGAATTTTACCTAAAAAAACATAGAGAATTATTAATAACAATAATGATAAAAATATTGTATATATAATTTTCTATTACAACAAAAAGTTAAAAGCATTAAAAATATTTATTTTCATTCAATGAATTCACTTTCATAATGTATTACCATTCAAAAACGGGTAATAAATGCCAATATGTTAAGAATGATCAAACTAAACATTTTCAAGATTTTTCTATTTAAAATTCCTGTATAAAATATTTTCGTTACTTTTTTTTATCTTCCTTTATTTAAATATGCATCAGCTTTTCAGAAAATTCACTTATTGAAAATATGATTAAAGTTAACGTTAAAAGATTAAATCTATTTACAAACTCCCAATTTCACACTTATTTGTATGATGTAAATAAATAAATTAATTTAATATTTTTTGTTCGTTGTATTTTCCTTGTTATTTTTTCTATTTTGTTCAATTAAATATTACCAGAAGGAATTTAATTGAATGGTATTGTGCTGCCATCTATGAATGAAAATAAGTATTAATAGCTTATGACGGTAGTATTTATTTATTATTATTCATTTTTTATTTAAAATATTAAAAAAGAAACTCCTAATATTGGCTTGTGAAATGAATAAAATGTAAGAAAATTATTAATTATTTCTCATGCTATCTGAAATATTTTCACAGTTAAGAATATCCACGAATCGATTAATCATAATCGTTTTAATCGACATGTTTTGTCACCTGATTGTTGTGTGTTCAAATTTTATTCTTTTTTTCTTGTGATAGTTATTTTTTGTTTTATTTCACTTGTCATTATTACATGTGCTTTTACTAAATTTGAGCGCCATATACTTTAATTGGGAGTTGTCCTTTTTACATTTAAAGGTGTGTATAAATTTTATGATTACTGCAATCGTGTTTTCATTTCCTCTGTGCAGCAAGTTTCATTGCTGATCTGTTGTTTGTCATATTCTTAGCATTTCTCTCCAAAAAAATTCATTGATTGTGTAATCTGCAAACACCCGTTGTCAATAATATACCTTTTACTTTTATTTTATAATTTGGAGATAACCATCCTTTTATATTGTAAATTTATTTAGTAAATTAGAACCGCCTTTATTATATTTCTTATACGGTAATTTTTTGCATTTTTTATCCAAATTTCTGTTTTATCCCGCTTGCATAATTGTGTCTTTTAAGACTACATGATTTACAATGGCTGAAAAATTAAAATAAAAGTACGACTTATTCTACATATTCTGAAATATATAAGTTATAATACAAGAAGAATAAACATGAATTGCACTGGAGTTTGTTTCATAAATGAATATTTTGATTATCACTTTATGAAACTCAATGTAATATTAAGGGCTTTCTTGTTTATTAGTCATTTATAACCATCTATTATAATCATTTGGCGTAAGTCCAGTTATTTTGCATATGTATTTAAAATGTACAAAATGCTGCATATTTAAAAATTGCTCTTTGCTTTTCAAAGTCGTAGATGAAATACAAGTAAATTTAAATATGTATTATTTTCGTGTTTAGTCATTTGTAGTTTTGTACAAATATATATATATATATTTTCTATAGTCTAGCATGATAAGTTATTATTTATTTTCTCCTGATCATGAGATTAAAAATTTAGCATTATGCTTATTTGTAATTTATACATAATCTGCTAACTTTTTGGATGCTTTTATCTTTTGATTTTTCTTTTTTTCAAGATTAAGAGAATAACAATCTTTATGAACATGCAGTTTTTAAAATGAACATCAAGATTTCAGATCAACCAGTATTATTTACATAATGAGCATAAATTTTAGTTTTCTTAATTATACTCACTTAATTACTATTTGTTTCAATATGTTACATATTTAAATTTATGTTATGCATTTGCAAAAGATGTAATTTTGACCTTCTGTAAACAGAAATCAATGAGAAATTATTCATGAAGACAAACTGAAGCATATTAATTAGTATAGTCTTGTTTTTTCTCCTTCAGATTATTATTCTTTTGAATTTTAGACAATATGTTGTACAGAAACTATGATCTGAATGTTTTAATTCTCTACAAATAATGTATCTGCATTATCTCCTTTCTTTTCTAGAAAGATTGTTATTTTTTAAATTATTTTTATGGAGTTTTATACTTGTAAATTTATACCACAATGCATGCCATTATTAAAACCATTAAGATGTATAATTCTGACCATGTATTATGCAAATAATTGTAATTTTCTGTTATCTGGACCAGATGTGCATATATGGGTATGTATGTACATATGTATGAATACATATGTATGAAGGTATACACACATGCACAAATATACACATACATGCCTATATACATATGTTTCTGAATTTGGTCCAAATGAGGAAAAAGTGTGCAACAAATGCGAACAGTATATTTTACATATTTTATGTCAAAGTGCATTATCGTAGAGGTAATTTAAATATGGAGAAACTGAATAGGGAGGGGACAACTACTGAAGTATGTTAAGCTTAAAAACTTTTACAGCCCATTATCAGATTGTCATTTGATTTGCATACTAATTTAGAATTGTTTTTCTGTGTTTAGCTTCCATATGTGTAAGCAGTTTATTTATCAGTTTTAGAATATATAATTTACATATTACATATTTAATAGCACTTGTTATTATTATTAATTAAAATTTTTTTCAAAATTTTTTAGCTACGACTAAGATGTCTCTCAGTAGATCTAACAACTTTCCAGATTATGGATCCACAGATTCCCGGTATGGTGGAACAAGACCAGTTAGACCACAACCTAAATCAAATTTTGGTATGATTTATTTATGCTGAGCACTGCATATCATTACTTTTTCTAACTGTGCGATTGTAGTTATGCAAGGTTATTTTTGTATTTACATATTCCTTCGGAATGGAAAGTTGAGTTATAGCTTTTAATATTGGTAACTTATACGTACTTTCCACTGAAATAATTTTTCTTTTTTACTTTAATTTCAGATATCACACTATATCATCAACTGTGTGACGATATTAGTTGCAATATATTTTCTATAAATAATAATGGTAAGTTCAAAACTCTATTTCTGTCAATTGTAATTTATTATTTGTCAACATGACTTTTTTATATGTGTAGGGGGAGGAGTGTAGCTTAAAATGAAGAACTTTATTTATTAAACTGATGCATTTTTTTTTTTTTTTTTTGTTTAGTAACAAAATCAGATGATTTCTAAATTTTATACAAGAGACTGAAAATGGACAACTGTAACAAAAAGTACAAATTTACCTTTGTGTTTTACTTTTATATATATAAAAAATCAGTTTTTTATTTCCTAATGAAAAAGTATATTGTACTTTTTCATTGAATTATAACAATACTTCACTTGAATACTTCACTTTCACTTGAATTATAACAATACTTCAAGTGTTGTTATAATTACATAACATGAAAACACACTACAGCATAAATGTAAGTTTAGTAGAGCAAAGTAAAATTAGGTCCATTTTTAGAATATGTAGTAAAGTAGTATGATGATAAATTAAAAAACTGAATGTGCACATGTATGGTTGTCAGTCTCTTGCCATAAAGAATTTCTTTCTGGGTTTCTATTGAAAGAATGTGCCAGAATCATTCTGTTTACGAAAACAGAAATGATATAGGGATTACTGAAATGAATTTTAGTCTTATGTCCTGTACTGAAGAATTTTTGTAACTGTATGTTTTTCTGATGTGAATGATGAATGAAAATTCATATTACATGGCGAAAATTATTTAGATATTATTTTGATAAAGTACACTGGTTTCATGAGTAATTTGCTTACGGAATGGAAGATAGTTTTTACAAAACATAAGATTGAAATTTACGGGCGCGCGTTTATACACTGGATATAAAAATGATAGATTCAAGATTAAGGAATGAGCATAAAAAATTAGATTTCTATATGTACCTAAAGGCTGTTTATTTAAAAGAAATTACATACTTTAAGAACTTAACAATTTTCATTATTTGTTATTACTAAAACATAGTCTTATCATTAAATATCATTAAAATAAAAATACTTCCTTCACTCATCCCAGATACCGAGCAATCCAGAAAAACTAAAGACAAAACTTGCTCACTTACCTGGGTAGTGTGATGTTGAATCTGTAATAAAAAACTCTAATATGTTGATTTATCTAATTATATTCTCACTATACTACAAAATATATACATTTTTTAACAATTATCGGGAAATTTTTCTGGCCCCGAAAGTTATTACACAATCAGTTCACGTCACGAGGTCGAAAGGGGAAAACCCTTTTTTTTCTTCCTACTTCAATGACAGCCAACGCCATCTGTGTCTCGTACATCAAAATGAAGAGATTTGTTTTTAATATTTGTTAGATACAGCTAATCAGTTTCACAACATTATTGGATAACATGAAAAGTTCATCATCTTCGTCTTCCGGTATATCTTCAGGCACATCTTCAAATTCTCTTTCATCTTCACCATTATCATTCTGATCCATAAATAAATAATCATTATCATGCATTTTTCTTTCACCAACACCTAATGTCCTTCCTGCAGCAAAATTAATGTCTTTGCATTTTGAAATAGCACTGTTTGTTTCTTTTCACGGGAGCCATATTTACTACTGTAAGGAATACTAGATCAGCTGTATTTCAACTAAAGCAAATGCAATTTACTAAATCCTCCAGTTTTCAATTAAAAATCATGGGTTTGAATATAGAAAGAGAAAACATCTAACTCTTAATTCAACAAATTCATTTAGGTTTGAAGTACATTCTTATTCCAAATTATATACCTCTTTTCTCAAAACCTTACAAAAGCTTTCTTTTGGACACTTGCTAATCCACCCTCTTTGCAGGAATATTTACTCCCTCAAGCATTTAACCCACACCCGTATTGTTCCCCTTATCGATTGTCAATTTGGTATACCATAGTTCAAAAAGCTAGGGCAAATCTTCGAATAAGTGACCTCAAAAGATAAGAGCATTGCACATGCGTCTTTTAGGTTGTTTCTTGATGAAATGGGTGCGTGTTATACAGCGAATATACTTAAAAATGTAGCTTGAAATTATAGATGCATGTTATACACTGGTGCACATTGTGCGTCGGAAAATACGGTACATAGAGTATAACATTAGTTATAAAGAAAATTGTTTCAATTAAGTTGCCCTTATGAGTAGATTCTACCAAATTAACACATGATGCAGTTTTTTAATCATGAAATACTAATGGTGAGAAAAGTTATATTGTTACTAAATCAAATTTTATGACACAACATGTTTATTGATAAAAATTATATATTCAAAACTGAATTAAAATTAATTTATTACGTGCAAGAAACATTGTTTATCCTTGTGTACCGATGTTTGAAATAGTTAATATTCAAAGACATTTTCAAAGATTAAAAGAAATTATGCAGTTTATAATTTTTTAAGAATGTTAAATAATCTAGAATTAAAGAAAAAATTTCTTGATGCAGAACTTGCAAACAGTGGCTTTGTGCTGTCAAATAGGCTCATAAATTTATAGAATGTTAAGTAACTTTGAGTTAAAAAAAAGCTTTTATGATCTAAAACTTGCAGACATTGTCTTTGTTTACCTAAATTAATTTTCTGAATTCTGCACACTGATTGATATCTTTGGGAAGTGGAGTATGTGTACTGCTACACACACACACACACACAAAATAAATAAATAAATAAAAAATACACATTGATTTTACACAGATGATCCAGTAAGTGGTATTCACTTTACCATGAGTCTTAAGTGGAGAAACTAAATGAATCAGATAAATGAAAACATTATCATTAAAATACATTTGATACACATTACAATGTCTCAATTTCATTAGTTTATTTGGTAAAGGTATATTTTAGGGTATCCCTTGGCGATTTTTGGCGGTACATGGATACCAATGTGTTTGCAATTCTTTGACTTGTTATCTTGGCTTACGTAGTGACAATTTTTGTGCCAAAAGTTGCCGCAACACAAAGCCAAAATAACAAGACAAAGAATTGCACAAACTCGGTATCCTTGTACGCATCGCCCTATTTTCACTTGAAAAAACATAAGAGAATTGCACAAACTATGCCTTACGCACTTCCTTGGGTTTGTCCATGTACAAATAATATATTTTCACTTAAAAAATCAAAGGAGCACCAAATTCTACAGTGGAGGCAGACAAAAAATACATAATCTCAATAAACTACATTTTAAACCAAACAATAAAATGACATAAAAAAGGAAAAACATGTTATGCATTTAAGCACTGCACAAAGCAAATATCCAGTTACCTTATTTAGAAATTTGTTCGTCTTCAGTCTGTGGCATACAAAACTCCTTAACAGCATCCAAAAACTTCCTAAAATTATCTGAACTAGAATCCGTATATCGGCGTCGCCACATAAATTCACAAAAATAAGAATAAAAAATATACTATGTAGTTCCAGACTGTCCGGAAAATGGCTACTAAGTAAACCTTCATTTACACACCAGTCAATTAATGCACTTTTCCCCTTTCATTCCAAATCATACAGAAACTTCAAATTAATCTTACTACATTCAGCCGTTGTACCGTCTAAACAATGAAACGAGCAATGCACTTCCTAAGCAACACACACCACAAAAGCCCTTGCAAAACATCCCATGATTCAAAATTTTCCGGAATAATGCAAACGATTGTCATAATAGGGTTTCCATAACATTCAACTACCATAAATCATACAACAACTTGGTGATAAAAGAAACAAAACTTCGCGATAATACAAGGAGTACCCTAAAGTCAACTTTAACCGTACAAAACACAACTTGGTGATAAAAGAAACAAAACTTCGCGATAATACAAGGAGTACCCTAAAGTCAAATTAACCGTTTATTTATTTTGTTGAAATCCACAAGATTGCATTTCTATCTGAATAAAAATAAATTAAATGTTTGCTATTATAATGAATTCAAATTAATCTTTGGTATTATATGTTAATGTTATGTTGGCTAAAGTATTTTTCCATCTACTCTGTTTCCGGTTTAATTTTTATGTTTGTGTGTTTCATTTTTTATATTGCAGTCACAGCTTTAGAAAAAGCATCTAAAGAAGTTGGAACCCAGTCTGATACTCCATTACTAAGAGAAAAAATGTAAGTGCTTTCCCCCCTTTCTTCTTCTTCTTCTTCTTTTTTTTTTTTTCAATTAGCTTTCTATTTAAAACAGAAAGAAATAGGATACAATATGCAAAAAAAAAAAAAAAAAATTTATTTATATGCCTCATAAAACCAAATTAACTGTCTGTATATATACTTTTTTAACGTTTATTTATACCCTAGAAAATTCTCTTAAGATCTAGAAAGTAAATTAATTTCACTTGTCAGTACTTTGCATTAATCACTGGAGTTTGGATGTGGATCGTTGCAGTATATGACTGTTTGTTTTGTAATTATCTGCAAATTATTATAGTTTTATTTTTAAAACAGCCTCTGTTACTTTTTGCAGTTAATTTATGTTCATAATTTTTGGAGGACTTTTTTTCATTAGCAGCTTTAGCAAAAGGCTGCATTGCCAGCTGTGAAAAGTTCCTAAATGTTTTTCCATCTAAAAGAAAAGTTGTTTTAAATATTCCCAATAACAGTTTTATTTTTTTGCCTAGACTATAGACAATTTGGATGCATCAGCTAGTACTTTGTTCATTAACAACTTTAAAATGTGCAGGTATTACAAAATAAAGTATGTGCATATAAACATTTGCATATGTGAATTCAATATATATATTTACAAATATTGTTTCAAAATAATATAGTAAAGTTAAATTAAATTTAAATAATTCTCTTGCACCATTGCTGTAAGGAATGAAATTTGAATACAGTCAAAAGTCTTTAATCCGGATTCGTCAGGACTTCGGCGATTCCGGATTATTGGTTTTTCCGGATTATAGATCATCAATTTAAATCTGGTAAGATGGCATGCAGAAATTATAAAATTAAAAATATGAAGCCATAATTTATGAAATGAAGAGCAATTATGATCTAAAAGGTATCAAAATTCACAAAAAAAAAAAAAAAAAAAAAAAAAGCTTAATATTTATTTGTTTACTTTATTAAACATTTCTTTCAACGCGCACATGCGTAAAGCATACATTATGCATAGTCGAAATTAGAAAATTGCAACCGAAAACTATTTGATGTGTATTCGTGATATTTATAATGATGAGGAATTTGATTTAAATCATACCAAAGATGGAGTACATTGAGATTTTTTTATTATATAGTTCCTATTCCACTGTTACTATAGAATGTTTGGTGCTCTTCTGATATTGGGAGCAGATTAAAAAATGTATGTATGGATATATGTGTTCATGTATGTATGTATATGTGGGTATACGCACACACACATATGCGCATAGATACCTACACACATGCGTGCATGCATACATTTTTTGGTAGTATTCTGTTTTGAGGACCGTAAAAAATTGCAGCGAAAATGTATGTGCAAAAGCGCCGAATCTAGCAAACGTGCCCATTTAACAGCGCGCCAAATCTAGCATACGCGCCGATTTCAAATTGCGTAAGTTTAGATAATTCTATATTTCTTAAGACGGCATTGAAATACTAGTTTAATTTTTAAATCCGTATTTGATTTTAAATCCTTTTTTGATATCCTATGGATTTAACAATTTGGGAATTGCCCATGAGGAAAAGTATGCAATAGAATTTTTTCAAAGAAAAGATATCATTCATTATAAAAAATTATGTTTGAACAACCAACAAGATGAAATTATGCTTTAGTGATAACTTGGTAGTGAAATAGCGATGCATAAATCCATTCAGTTATGTTTAGCCTTTTTTTATATAAATTATAATAATGATCTGAAATAGTTATTTACTCTTATGCTTCCATTCAGTTATGTTTAGCCTTTTTTATATAAATTATAATAATAAAAAAGTATTATATGAAATTTACCTTTCATATAAATTAAAACAATAATCTTTTGATAGTTATTTACTATTATACTTCCTTTCTTGCGTTAGGGCTGCCGCAATTATTTTTGGCAGCACTGGCATCAACAATAGTTTGGCGATTTTTTATGATCTTCAAAGCGGAAAAGTACCCATTTTTTAATACGGTCCCAATAACAGAAGAGTACTGAATATTTGTATTCTGGTTACTGTAATATGTTTGCTTAAGTGACTTTTTCATTAAAAGCAACTTATGCAGTTTATACAGATACAATTTAAATGCTATCTAGGGTGTATTTTTGAACATGCTGGTCTGATAAGCATTATTCATCATCATGAGTGGCTTCTTTAACTGTTGTGCATTATAAGTTGCCGTCTAATATTCTTCTGCATCCATATAAATGTCATTAAACACTATCCAGTATATGAGAAATTCAATCAAACATATTTATTCTTTTAATTTTTAAGATAAGCAGCTGAACATGAAATGTAGTAATATTAACAAAACTGAATCATCACTTGAAGTAAAAATGTGTAGTTCGTAGATTCCTTCGCTGCCTAGAATGTGCAATTCGTAGATGTTTTTTTAAGTTAAAATGCATCGCTGTGTACATGGATTCTTGTCAAATATTTTTGGTTAGAAACTTTACGTTTTTGCTATCTAAATTTTTTTGTTTTTGTTTCGGAATTTTAGCTTAAATTTTGTCTTAATTGGCGAGAAATTTGGTTACCTGAAGGCGCATATAAGAGTAGTTTCAATTTTTGAATAAATTATATTTGTTAAATAGAAAAAAAAAATAATACTATTATTGCTTTATTAACCTTTATATATAATATTAGATATATTTTAAAAAGTACTTTGAAAAGTTTAAATTTTATGTATTTTATGTCTTTCTAATGTACCTTGATGGTACAATTTATTCTAATCATTTTTTTACAGACATGCTACACAACAGAGTACAAAGGACCTTGTTAGCAGTACTACAAAGTTTTTAAAAGACTTAACCACTGTAGTTGCCAAAGGAGGAAGGGTAATGATACTTTTAACTTTATTAGTGTTTGAAAGATAAACATATCAGAAGCATCTAGAATTCTAATTACTTATGCTCCTGAATTAACTCTCTGTCTAGAAAGTATATCAGTTTCAATCATACCTATTTAGTATTTTTTATTCTGGTCAAATTCTAGATTTAATTTTTGATTAAAACTTGGGAATTCTTTGTAGATTAGAATCCTCTTCAGGCTGCAGATACTTCATGTACAAAAAATAAATATATGAATTAATAGTCAAAGTTGACCTTTTCTCAAAATTTTAGTAGCTAAATTTCCTGACCAGTGGTAGTTGATTCTGGGCTCAACTTCTAGAAATTGCATCAGCTGTCAACATGGTGTTTTGGGGGTTTTTTTCCACGTGTGATGTGATTATATGCCAAAATTCATTCAAAAGTTGTCCATCAAGGCATTCCTTCCACGACGGAGAGTTCTTAAGTGCTTTGCTATAATAATTGACCTAAACTATGAGTTTTGGTTTATTCTGCTAAACTTAGCATTAAATATCTCATATTAATCATTAAGCAGCAAAGAATGTTCTGTATTTCTTTAATATAAAGTAGAATATGTTTTCAGTTATAAAATATAGTGTCATTTTTAAAACATGGAAAAACAAAATTGGTGATATAAGGCCACATTGCTGTCATTTGTTTTGATATAAGGTTGTTTACTTAAGATGCTTTTCATGCTTACTTTATTATATAGTTTAGCTTTCTATTAAACTTAAAGTGTTATTGGTTCTTTTATAATCAAATTGTGATTTTATTTTATTGTGTAGGAGCATCGACTGCAGTGTGAAAGAGTTCGAAATGAATTTCGAGCTACAGTGCAACGTTATGACACATTACAAAAGGTGAGCTGTAATTTTTGCCTGCAAATAAATTTTAGTTGTTTTACGATTAACTTTGTAACATTTGCCAAATTTCATGTAAATAAACATATTGTTACGATTTTTTTCTTTCTGACACCAGTTGTTATGTCATTTTCTTCCTTCACATTCATACTGCGCTCGTGTGGGTTTGGAATGAATAACGACGACACTTGATGAAGTATCGAAACACACTTTATTGGCCGGTATTAATCAGGAAAGTTCCCAAAATCTCATTCACAGTCGTCGAACTGTTATAAACATGCTGACACGATCAGCGACACAGCTTTCAGGTTATCAAGCTATCACGGTGGAAACAGCTTCAGTGCAGGTTATCAAGCTATTACGATGGAGACAGCTTCACTGCAAAGCACCAGAATACAGCTCCCCACTCTGCTTGGTCGTTCTCGGAACTCCCTGTACTCTCAAGAATCTCCATGCTACAACTCGCAATGCACTTGACGACACACAGAGCACGCTCCCGACTCTTCGGTTCAGTCATTCCTGGAGCTCAACAGGCTCTCTTGACAGATGCACTAACCGCGATACACTACGAGACTCTTTTGGGCACTCGGCACTCGCTGTCCGGCTGTCAAATTGATCGACACAGCAGGGATTGAATTGCTAGACGAGACACCTACTAACTAACTCTTCGTGTACCAGCAGGGTTTATGTAGCTTTCGGCTGGTGTTCGAGAACATATTGGGCTAAACTGGTAAGAATTCATTCCAGAAGGTTCTCCATCCGTCCATGGTATATCGCAAATTTTGTTGCCAAATGTGGTAATCCTGCCTTCCTTGCTATTTTATGGTAACTCTAAAACTGCTTTGCAGGGAAGCCATCTCACTGTGTCTGTACATTTTGTAACAATATAACCATTTGAAATGTTAACACTGAAATTATCAACCAGGGGAGTACTGTATGCATTTTTGACATTTAATGGGATTATTTGAAAAAGTATTTTTTTCCTCTCCCATATTAAATAGCTTTCATCTGTTTTTTATGATAACTCTTTTTAAAAAATTGCTGAGGTGCCCATCCTATAAGCTGTTTCGTATGTTCGTTTGTTGTAAAATAGTAATTATTTATATGTCGCTTAGAAAAACCAGGTCTTTAAAAGTGAAATACAGTTATTACATAGGTATAGAAAACAGCATGCTAGAGATTTTGATTTTTTGTTTGTTTGTTTTTTCTTTTCTATTTGGAACTCTAAAAAGTTACCTTGACAAAAGAATTAACAAGTGATTTTTTTTTTTTTTTTTTTTTTTGTAATTCTTGTGCATTGTGAATGGAAAAAAAAGTTTCTACATCCGTAACATGATATTGAGGTAAACTATTAAGTTCAAAATTGGTGCATACACTCACTTTCTGTGGATGACAGCAATACAGTATGGTGAAGCAATTTTTTCAAAATTCAGTTTAGATTTTGTAAATTAAATCTTCATTTTATAAATAAATAAAAATATCAGAATTTTATTATTTGTACCATGAAATGGAGTAGATACCAAAAAAAAAAAAAAAAAAAAAAAAATCTTTTAAACAAACTTTGTATAAAAATTGCAACTTAATTTCTGAACTTTCGGTGAAATTTTGAAAATTTCTCAATTTTTTCCCTGCTATTAATATCCTTTATTAACTTAATTTCTGAATTTTTGGTGAATTTTTAAAAAAATTACAGTTTTTTCAACTATTTTACGTTCATTATTAAAAAAATTAAGCATATAAAAATGTATTAAATATAAAGTTTTTAAAATTTCCGTAGATTATAAAACAGACTCTTCATCTCCTTTTTAAAAAAGAAAAATATACTGAATGGGTGATGTTCTAAAGCATTGCAATCTGAACCAGAAAAGGAAAGGAATCCCTTCTTTTCAGCCATCACATTCCTTGGAAATATGCTTTCAACAGTATGATGTCATTACATAACTTAATTATTATTACTGCTTCTGTGCAGATTTCCGTGCATTTTGTATTCACTTCATTTTATTAATCTTAATAATAAAGTTTAGGGATTGATTACCATTTAAAATTATGTGCAATGAAATGTATTGTATGTATCGTTTTAAACATTTTCTGCTTCATAAGTTTATATACACTTTCCTCGGCATTTCAATTTAAAGGTTGATTTTCTTAATTTTTTTATGATAGGTAATATTATATTCTTGTATGGGTTTCTAAAATTCTAGCATCCGAAAATGTATCCATTATAAAGATATGGAATCTGTGTTTTTTATTTAACAAACTCTCTCCTCTTCATTTAAAATAAGAATTATCAAAGCAAAACTGTTAATTAGATACTTTTTAGAATTTTTTAAAACTAGTTGCATTTTTATAAGCCCTTAAAAAAAATAGTTTCAGAAAATGATTGCAAGGACTCTTGAATCAGCATCTGCTGTATAAATTTTTCTTTTTGCAGCATAGTCTTACATTATAACACCATTTCGTTGCTTCTTTAGGTGTAAAATACGATTTCATTTTGTAATTTTCCAAACTAAATCTATTAGTGTGAATTGTTCCTTTTTCTTGGAAGAATTGGTACTAATGTATTTTTCTTTTGACCATTTTCGGCACACAGAAACTGTTGCCAAACAGTGCAATTTAGCACCGAATGGATAAACATGATGTCTTAATGCATTCATAAGATCGTTGGTTTGGTTTTATGTACCCATGATTCTCTTAGTTTAGTTAATTTTTTTATAAAGAAGGATTATAGTAATCAGTATATCTTTGTTTTTGAAAGAAAAAAAAAAAAAATGTTGAAAAAAAATTACTCTGTAAACCTTTACAAAACTATGATATTGGTTTTTAATATTTCTCCAAAAGGAAAGAAATTTAAATGTGAGTTCTAATAAAATGCTGCCGTAACTTCATGCTGGTGTAAGATGGAGCTATTATACAATGTAAATTCAATTTATTCATTTTCTATATGGACACTTTTAAGGTAATCACTTGACAGATTTTATAAGTTGTGCTGAATACATTATTTTCTAGCAGTTTGTATCTATGGCATCATAAAATATAAAAAATAAATATGTGATTAAAATAAAGAACTCCAGATCAAGATATCTGTATTTATTTGTAGCAATTAGGTCCAAAGATGAAGCAAGCCATGATACAGAGCCAACAAACAAGCAAAAACATATGGACTGCAGACGAAGAGGATGAGAATCAGTCATTAATGGAAGCTGAAAATATCCAACAGCAGCAACAAATTCAAGAGGAGTTAGAATTTGAACAAGTAAGTTCCGTTTTCACATATATGTGTAGTTTTCTTTATTAATTTTATGTATGTATCTTATGATCTTTAGTTTAAAAAACACAATAAAATAAGTAAAATTTCAATAACTGAATTTTGAGCTATGTAAAATTTTCTGCAAGTTGAAATGAATATTTTTATACAGACATACTTATTAATATTAACTTATATTGACTTGAAATATTTAACAATTCAAACTTTTTTAAAATAAAACTGAAATTTTTATGTATTTATTTTGAAATGAAGGTCATAATTATTCCCAAACCAATGAAGATCGTGCCCTACATGTCATTTTATAGACCCTTTAAATCTAAAATTTGGAATTACTATGGATCTTTGAGTATGGGAATTTTTTAAGTATCTGAAATGTAGTGTGAATATATTTTCTTTATTTATCACTTTTATATGGCAGGCTGCTGCAATCAGATTGTTTTATGTTTTTATTATGTATTTCTGTATGGCATAATATATATGTTGAAAGTTTAGTGTTCATTTAGCTATAGTATTGTAGTTTTTTCCTTAAATTTGATTAGGACCCCACATTTTTATGACACTGTTTGGAGTATAGTGTCTTCTAGCTGTGTAATTGGTTTCAGTCACCAGTCTTGGTATATTTCCTTGATTGCTGAATATGTCTAAAGATCCTTGATAATTTAGTCTTGATAACCCTGCTCACAGAACTTTCTACAATTAGTTTTTTTTTTTTTTTCTTTTACATTGTTGAAAAATTTTGAATTGCAAATTATTAAAAAAAATTAACTTTCTATTATATCTTATCTATATATTTCTGAATATAAGGTGATCCATGTATAAGCCAAGAGTGTTTTTTTTCTTGCAAAATTTACCCAAAATTCAGAACCCACATAACCACATAGAAATAAAAAGAAATTCCTGTAACATTCAAACGTGTCGTTATGAGGGGCAAAATGCTGCCAAGTGTGTTAAATGGGTCGAGTATTTTTGAAAATCACTGTAAAGTGAAATGCCAGATGCCTACTACTGTAGTTTTAATGCTGGTAACCTTATCTGAAGCTTAGCACATTTTCCCCATTCATTTATTGTTTTAGTTGTTTTGTATGCAATCTGTGGTATCTGTACTAACCTAATTTTCTTTTCCATTTTATTTTTTGTTTGAAAGATGAGTGTGAAGAGATCCCTACACAGCAGATTTCAAACTGCCATGTAAGGATCTCTTCACTTCATTTCTCTGAGCATAAATAAAAGAGTGGAAGAGGGAAAAGTATTGAAGAAGGGGAGATGTTAGAATAGTGATAATAATAATAATAATAATAATAATAACAAAGTACATTGGTCATCAGCTTATGTTTCATGAAGGAAAACCTCACCACATAGATGCAAGAGTTGTGAATGAATGCTTTTATTGCAACCCATACAGCTATCGAAATGAGGGCACTGAACATTACAAAATCACCTGAATAAGCTCAAAGCAAACCAGTGGATTTCATTGTCTCCATAGGATGAGGCAATAATTTTCTGAATTGACACAATTTATTCATAAGAGAACTTCAGAACTAGAAGGAAAAGTTGAAGCCTTTCAAACAACATGTGATAAAATTACATAAAGAATATAACTTCAAGTTGCATCAAATTGGCAGTATGGAGGAAATTCTCATGTTATTTGAGTTGCTATCAAATTACACTGTTTATACTAAAGACCATTTTTATGAAGGCAATGGGTCATAAAAGTGCTGTTTTGCAGTAATTTTGTACATGTGAAACCTTCTATAATTTACCATCTATAATTAATTTTAAATGAAAGACTGTGTCTAAGGGTGTAGTATTGCCAAGAACAGTACATGTACACGAAAGAGGCTGAATGACTGAGTGTGGCATCTTTGATTAGCTGTAAAGAACATGGAGCCAAAAAAAAAAAAAAAAAAAAAAAGGCAATGTATTTAGTAAATTAATCCATGCTGATTTGGGACTCATTTAAGGCTTATCTTACAGATCAAATGAAAGACAAGTGCCAAAACTTAAAAAACAAAAATGGATGGAATACCAGGAAGACTATATTGATATTCCAACCACTGAATGTTTAAATAGGCCTTTTAAGTGTTGGCTTAGATCTGGTAAATGGATGGCAGCAGGAAATAAAACCATAATGGATTATTACTATTAAATTATTATTTATTACACTATTAAAGTGTGAATTTAAAAAATAAAAATAAAAATAATAATTAGAAAAAGATCTAGTTACAATTGTGCAGTGTGTAATAGATGCTTAGTTGGAATTTTCATATGAAGCAATAGTTAAAGCTTTTAAAAGGTGCTGCATCAGTAACTGTATAGATGGCAGTGTGGACAATTTTATGTAAAAAGGAGAACATAAATTCTACTATCAAAGGTATTCTTAGTGATAAGTTAGTCTGTCCCTCCTGCACTCATCAGTTTTATATTCACATTACTGTGGTTTAATTTTGACTAATGAGCATCTGTTTTGTAGAAAGATAATCCGCAGTCTCTATAAGCAACAATCCTTTCTCTGAAAACTCAGAAATTTTCTCAAATGACTGCCGTTTTTTCCAATGAGACGTACTGAAACTTCACATGTAAAAGCACAATGGAAATATACCCACTTCCAGTGCATAAAACAACTACTATTTCTTCCTTTTTTAATGCTTCTGGGTGCTATTACTGGTACATATTATTCATCTATGCATTGTGAAGCTAATCATTTGCACAGCCTAACAAAGTCTACTCGTGGTACAGATTTCAAAGCTATTGGATATTTCCTTCATGATGTGGCATATTAGATGGCCTAGAAGGATATTATTACTTTTATATAGACATGTGACAGTTTAGTTTTTCGTGCTACCAACTTTATATGCAATATCTTTCTGATGCAGATATGCAATTAATATATTGATTTTCATGATTTTAATTTGATTCATCATTTCTTATACATTAAAATAAATTTTAATGTATGCAGTAATTTCTACCATATCTTGTTTAGCATTATGTGTTTGTAAATATTTACACATGAACCATTATTTTATACTTCCAGGTTCATGTGAAAGTCTCATTAACTTAAATTTTTATTGCTTGAAATTTTTCCCCAGTGCATTTTTTCCTTTTTGAAACTCGATTGCAGAATTTTAATGCAAAAATTGAGTGCAATAAAAATTGAGATGGAGCTTTGATAGACTGCCTTTATGTACTTTGCTTAAATTAAATAATCTGATCTATGAAAGTCTTAAATCATAAATTAAATGTATGCATGCATCTTTACCTGAGGGCAATTTTCATTTTTATAACCAAGCATTAATTTAAGAAATGAATATGAACAGTTTTTCTCTTTAGCATAAATTAATAAAATGTGCAGTAAAAAGTTGATTTTAAAACTATTGTTAGAATTTTCATTATTATCTTAATCAAATCTAATGGAAGAACTTTTATTTGCAATTATTAATATGAGTTCTTGTGTTTGATAATCACAATTCATGTTCAAACAAAACACATTTAATAAAACATTAATATATCTATAATATCATTCATCTATTAATACAACATCTATAACATCGTATATCTATTAACACATCTATAACATTGTATATCTATTACCACAACATCTATAACATCGTACATCTATTAACACAACATCTATAACATCATATATCTATTACCACAACATCTATAACATTGTACCTCTATTAACGCAACATCTATAACATCTTACATGTCCTCTCATAAAACAAAGTGGTAAGAGTTCTATCAATTTCACTCATGCAGTCAACAGCTAAAAATTAGACAGCGCGCGAGAAAAAATGTAAGCTGTGGATTTAGAATCCCTTATTAATATAATTATATGTAATAATTATTAATATGATTAAATGTTTAAAAAACATTTTTTTAGGGTTTACTGTTAGAAAGAGAACAAAGGATTAGACAAATAGAATCTGATATGCTGGATGTCAATCAAGTTTTTCGTGATTTGGCAGCAATGGTTCATGAACAAGGAGATTATATTGGTATGTTTTTAAATGAAATTAGTTATATAATTTGGTGAACAAAAAGTATATGAATAATTTATTTTGTACACATGATTCAATTTTGGTATTTTTAAATTTCTGTTTTTGCGAGTAAAATGCTGCTACTTGTTAAACATCATATACTCTAAATAAGGTACTTACGTATTAACGCAACTAGGCCAAAATTCGCATAAATTGCCAAATTTGGCGACCCTACTTACAGCAACCCTATGTGTGTGAAAATAAACAAAAATTTATTTGTAAAAAGAAAAAATAACACTGGGCGTGTACTACCACAGCAATGGGTTTTCGACGGAATTTGCCGAGAAAAGAAAGAGACTTTTTTAATTACTGTACCTAACAGAAGCGCCGTACCCTCATGGAAAAAATTTGCGAAAATATCAAGGAAGGAAGCATCATTTATTCGGATTGCTGGAAAGGATACAATACAAGTGAGTTCGAAAAATGCTGGATTTCTGCATGGAACTGTTAATCACAAATATAAATTTGTGGATCCCAACACGGGCGTTCACACACAAACATGTAGAGCGCATGTGGGGCTCAGCCAAATGGCGCAACAAAAAAAAACAGAAGAACAGCCCGTCATCATCTTGACTCATACCTTATCGAATTTATATGGCGCCAAGCTCAAGCTGTTAATGGCGAAGACGGTTTTCAATCAGTGCTTAAAAGCAATAGCCAAAAGATTTCCGCCGAAAAAAAATAATTCTGCAACTTATTCAAATTCGAAACCGGAAGGGTTTAATTGCTATTTTATATTTGAAACAAAATAATATAAAAAACTGTATTAAAAATTATCTGTAATTAATAAATGTACATTTTCTTTCTATTCATACTTTTTTACTCAAACTTACAAATCGTGCCAACCTGGTTGCGATAATACGTAAGTACCTTAAATAATTTACATGCTGCTCAGTTGTATGAAAGGATTCGTTTTAAGTTAGTGTATTTACGATATTAGGAGACATACAGAGCATACAAAGCGAAAAAGAATGACAAAGGAAACATCTTTATAAAAAAATATTGGATGATGAAAAATACATTCTTATTTAAAATGTATGCTGAAATATTATTAACTCGTACTTTTCATATTAAACTAAAATCTGAGAAATCATGAATCTGAGATTTTTAATAACTGAACATTAACAAAAGTAATTCCAAAAATTTTGTAAGTTTCTAAGCAAAGTATAATGACAGTAAATCAGTGGAGTATTAATTAAAGATTTGTGGTGACATGGTGTTTGGCTGTGTTAGTTGCATGTTCTAGATAATAAACAACAGTATTAATGATTAACATATTTAGTAACAGCTTACGAAACTTCAGTAATCTTCAGTAACATTTATAAAGGTATAAACAAGAAAATAATTGGCATTATTTGCGTCAGAACAATTATATAGTATTAATCCCGTTGTTTTTTTAGGCTAAGTAAAATTATTAACTTTACTATGAGAACAGAGTTGGTTCATGCTAGCATACACTTGCATGTACTTATTCTGTGGGGTGCATTTCTGAGATTAATCATGCTTCTTTATTTTCTCTGTTATATTTTCAAATCTTCTGTTTCATTATAGCTGAAGGTGACATCAGAGGAACTGTGAAGTCACTGATTATTGATCACTCTGAAATCAGGCTGTTTCAGGTTATTATTGCAGAGCATTGAAAGTGTGTCATTTAAAATCTCTTAATAGCAGGGCTATTTGATATCTGCATTATAATGTGTAACTTTTGTGGTGATTGCATGTCAAGACTCTTGCCAAAGATTTCAAAGATTCATAAAAGTTGATGTTTAATTTAATTGGAAGTATAATTCATTCATTTGTGACTGCAAATAGAAGTTTAGCCCGTGAAAAAAAATGCCAAAACAAATATAAAAAATTATGCTAGACCTCTCGTAATCTAAAATATTTATTGCATTTTAAATATTTTAAAACATTCTTTAAAAACATTTATTTTAGGTTAAATAAAAAATTATGATTTTAAATAATTTTTCAAGCAATTTTTAAAAGAAAAATAATGTTCTTTTTGTTTATTCTATACTATATACATAGGCTAAGCATAAATCTCGTATGGAAATATTTTTAACCTTTTGCAGATAACCAAGTTTTCCTGCTGTGTTTTTTGAGCATTTTGTGTATCTTTTATAAAGTCTTTAACAACTTCTTTATGGGAGAGATTGTTGATCTTTGCTAACTCATAACAAATTATTGATATCTTTGGTTTTTGCCCTCTTTTAAAGGATTTAGAAAAAATATAAAACATCTTAAAGGTTTTAGGAAAAATATATGCCCCAAAACTAAATGAATAACTTTTATAAGTAGTAAATAATCTTTTCATCTATTGCAGCAATTTATTAAGGAAAAATAAATTATTGTGATGATATTTTTGTGCTACATTTGGTGATTTAAGAAAGAAGTATATGCTAAATTCTGAGTGATGTGAGAATGGATGTGTATATGCTGTGACCACAAAATCCTTCCTTTTATTTTTGGACATAGACATGTACTTTCAGTTACAAAAGTGTTTTGAATGATGTGAAATTCATTTTTTAATTTAAAGAAACCAGTTTTGTAAAAATTATGAAATCTAATTTTTTTCGTACTTTCGTCTGAAGTATTACTTATATTGGGGAAAAAAAAAAAAAAAAAAAAAAAAAACTTGTATTTATTATATAAAATAAATCACAAAAAGTTTGACTGTTGTGGGTCAAAATTGGACTAAGCTATAATTCCAATTTTTTTTTTTTTTTTACTTTTTACTTCAACTTGTACTGAGAAGCCAGTTAATAAATGAATTACAACGATTTCAAGTTGATTCCCCTCCCTTAAATGTCATTCAATGATATTGTTTTTTAATTTACTGGTATCTGTAATTTATAATTTTATTACATTTGCTATACCAAAAGAATTTTCACACAGGTAATTTATAAGATTTCAAAGTCTAAAAATATTTTGTTAATGCTTTAGAATGGAGTTTTATTACTTTATAAATCACAGTCTATTAATGGCTGCATGTTAATACCTGCAAGTGTTTTCTTAACATGAATTCTATGAGACTGTGTGAATAAGATCTCCATTTTGAAAAAAAAAAAAAAAAAAAAATGTATATTTATCAGTGCTTTTAAAGATAATCTGCACAGAACTGCTCCTCTGTTAATGTCTTAATATCAGAAACCTTTTTCTAAATTGATACATTATTTTTAGTTATGTACCCATGCATATGTTTCACTCTTCAACTTGTGTATGGGTCCTAAGTATAATCCCTGATATTAATACGAAATATTTCAATCAATTTTGGTCGTAAGGGAGTTAAACTTTTTTGTTTGATATTTTTATAACGTGTGCAAAATTTTCCTAAATATAAGACAAGGACAAAGGAATAAGGAAAGGTTAGAGGAACATCTAAAAAGTTAGATTTTTTTATTTTTACAAAATCAATTTCTTTAAATTTAAAAGTACGAAGACATGAATCTTTGCATCATCTAAAATACTTTTGTAGCTGGAAGTATATGTCTAAGATGATCATTTGCGAATATAAAGGCTGAGTAACGAGTTTTATGGACATGGTGTATATTTAGGATATAATACCCAAACGTGTATTTAATTTATTCTAGCAGTTCTTGTCTCTTAAAGAATATGTCCCAAAATTAAGCTACGAAAAGATTAGTCCATTTCCAATGCAAAGATTCCCCCCCTTTAATTTGAATATATATGAACTCCCTGTGTACGACAAATTTAGAATACAAGCTTAATAAATTTATTAAACATGTATTTATAAATCAATTAAAAGCAAAGAACAGTCTAGACCAGTGGCTCTGAACCATTTTGCTGTATTCACTATTGCTGAAAGATCACTTCCCTATTTCCAAGATTAAAAGAAATATATGCACATTTATTTTTACATAATTTTTTTACAGTGCAGCATATTCTTAGCATTTGCCAGTTATAAAAGTGTTTTAAATGATGCAAAATCATGTTTCCCAATTTTTAAATTGTAAAAATTATGAAATCTATTTTTTTATACTTTTGTCTGATATGTTACTCATATTTAAAAAAAAGTTTTGTATTTGTTATATGAAATAAATCATGTTATATAAATAAATCGCAAAACGTTTCACTATTGTCTGTCAAGAATTGACCAAGCTACATAATTTCAAAATTTGTAATTTTTGACGTCATATAAGATACATCCGAAAAATGTACACACACTTTGAATTGTCATAGAAAATTTATCTTCCAACCTTCAAAGTTAAAGTTTTGCCTCATCTTTTACTGTGCCCCATGAAAAAAATCGAGTGATGTAAGGTCTGGAGAGTGTGCAGGAAACTATGGTCTCTCGTATCCTAGCCACTGACCTGGTTCATTGATCTCTGTAATAATGCAGAGGGGTGCCATTTTGTTCACAATAAAACCTATCATTACCATACATTGCATGAATGGCAGGGAAAATGGAATCAGCGAGCATTGTTAGTTCTTTTTCTCCAGTTACAGTGCCTTCAAAACAGAAAGTCCCAATGAGTCCCCTAGGACACATTCAAAATCACACATGTTAAAGTAAATGTGCAAAATGGTCACCTATACCATCTCTACATTTGAGAATGAGCCATGACTTATTCTGGCCAAACAAATTCACAGCCTTTTGAAATATAATTTGGAGATTATTAAGCAAGTACACTAAATTACGTGTATTGAAAGTTCCATTAAATTTAAATTGTGCCTCATTTGACTAAACAATGCTACTCGTAAATCCCGGTTCATGTGTAACTATCTCTTGAACCCATTCACAAAACTTGTGCTCTGTGTGCAGTACTTTACTACACTATATAATAAGTATAGCTAGTTGTGGTCAGTTTTAAAGTGTTCATTATAACATCTACCATATAATTATAGCATACATTAAATTATTATTTCACTAATTATACCAGATAAAAGCGAAACTTATTGCTAACCAAGGTGACTTTTATTTTAGTATCTAATGTTCTGTTAATAACATGCATCAGCTGCTCATTGTCAGATGATCGTTCTGATGTTGACTCCTGTCATATCAATATATATCTTGTACATATATCAATGTATATATATATATATATATATATATATATATATATACAAGTGTCATATCAATATATATCTTTAAAAATTAAATAATTTTTAAGTTAAATCATTATTATGAAAGAATAACTAAAAGTTTGCTCTATTTCCAATTATTCTTTCATGCCATCTTCTTTGTCAGGGTTTTGGTGGTGTATTGTATATTATTTTTAAATTGCTTTTCTGATTTTCATAATTCTGTTCCTTTTCTCTTCGCTCAATTTAGAAAGAAATTGTGATCAAAATTATAGATTGAGTAAGTGATGAAGGTAGAAGACTGCTATCTCAGTTGTGTGATTGTCAGTATAGATTTAGTGATATTACACTATGCAATTGATATGATCCCAAGTATAATAAATGTTAAAAAAGGGGACTGTAATCTCAGTTACATGATCAACAAGGTTCATTTTGCAAGATTGCTCTGAACATTACCATATATTAACTAATTCGTTCTAAAGTCTTGTAAGCATTACAAACAAATTAGTCAACATTTTATTTATAAAGTTCTCTGAAATAATAGCACCTATATTATATTGGTTTACATGCTAGTATCTTAATGGCTTACTTTGTTTACTACACTTGCAGAAATACTGAAAATTGTGTCAGCTTACAAAATGTTATTAATATTTTGATTTCATCACTTGACAAATCACATTCAAAATTTATGTCTTGTATTTTATGAAACAGGTAAGTGGACTAACCAAAGAGTATATAACATGTTTTTATTTCATATAATCTATTTTTATTTCTCTTAATTTTTATCTTTATTAATGGTTAAAATTTGGAAGATGTTTTTCTTTCTTAGGAACCATAGAAGAGAATATTACATCTGCAGCTTATAATGTCGAAGAAGGCCAAGAGCAGCTACTTAAGGCTAGGAACTATCAGGTAATTTATTTCCCTCTTTTGGATTACCTATGAATCCAATTACAGGCTGAAATTTAATTGCAACTGTATATAATGTAGATCAGAATATTATGTATATGTAAGTTATTAAGAGCAAAATAACATTATTTTAAAAATGTTAGTTTTAAAAAAAGTCAAATTTTATTTTAAACTTTCATAAAAAGGGGGCTTGAAAGTGGTAGACTTGAAAATTGGGTTTAATTCACAGTTTTATTGTATGAAGTACTTGCTAGGTATCATATTTCAAAACTAATTGATACATGAAAACATTATTGTAGACTTGATTCTCCTCCAAATATTTTTTTTGTTTTGAATTTTTATTTAATTAATAGTCCTGTTTTTACATTTTGTAACATTTCAGAATTGCAGTATTTTATAAAATTGTTTTAGTCTTTAATAAATTTAGTCAAAATAACTATTTGATAACATTTGAAATACACATTGCTAACAATAAACGTAAAATTTTCAAAGAATTTCATCAATTATCTTTCGATTTAAAAGAATTTTAACAGTTTAAATCAAGTTAAAACACAAAATTGAGGAACCTGCATTAAAAGTTTCAGTACATACAGTAGTATCTAGTTGACCATGAAAGTTGGTAGAGATCCTGCCAGATGTATACCTGTTGTTCTGGAAGAAATTTGAACAAACAAATTGTTCCTTATTTTGTTAGATAATAAACACAAATTGTGCGCTCATGGCGCCTTGAAACAAACGTACATGTTGTTCCATAATGACGTCCCGATAGATTTGGCTTTTCATGGTTCCAATTTGAACATGCAGGTCAGTTCTGGAACCCAGAATAATTCCACCCCAAACGAGCACTCCTACACCACCGTAACGGTGTCGTTCAATGATGCTTTCTTGGTGGTAACGAATACCTGGAGCTCTCCATATGAAAGTCCGGCGAGAATCAGACTGCAAGCTAAACCTGGACTCGTCGGAAAACATCACACAAGCCCACTGTTGCGGTGTCCACAGTGCATGCTCTCTACTCCAGGCTAACCGCAGGCGACAGTGAGTTGCAGTAAGTGGAACGCATCTGACAGGTCTACGAACATATAAACCAATCTGCCCTAAGCGTCTGTACACGGTCTGCCTTGAAATTGTCGTACCAGTGGCTGAAGAGAGCTGACGAGGCAGGTCTCAGGCTGTGCTCCACCTGTTTTTTTGGCAGTAACTGCCAAATACCGGTCCTTCATTCGGCGCTGTAACTCTGGGGCGACCTGTGCTGTAACGTCTACTCACATTACCATCATCTTGGAATCATTGCCAAAGCCTGGAGATGACACTCTGGGCAATTCCAAGTTCATCTGATACTTCCAGTTGGGTACGCCCACATTCCAGATGGCCGATAATTCTACCATGTAAAAAATCATCCAAATGCGTCCTTTGTGTCATAACTATTTGGTTATTGCACTGAAATGCTCATAAAGCACCTGCGAACAATTTTACTTCTTTGCCTGTATTCCTTATACAGTCAAAAGTCATTAATCCAGACTCGTCGGGACTTCGGCAATTCCGGATTATCGATTTTTCCGGATTTTAGATCATCAGTTTAAATCTGGTAAGATGGCATGCAGAAATTATGAAATTAAAAATATGAAACCGTAATTTATGAAATAAAGAACAATTATGATCTAAAGGGTATCAAAATTTACAAAAAAAAAAAAAAAAAAAAAAAAAAAAGCTTAATATTTATTTGTTTACTTTATTAAACATTTCTTTCAATGTAAGCTGTTTAAGTTGCTTTGTTTTTTATGTGATAACCCAGGCAGCATGCATTCGTAAATTGCACGAGAAAAATACGTGCAATTTACGAATGGCCTTTCGTATAAAAAACGTTCAAGTTGAACGTAAAAATATCATAAAAAGTGTCCAGTGGCAATTACTAAATATTTACGTATATTTTTTCGTTATACTATACGTAACTTTTACGTAAAATTTAGGTATATTTACGCGAGAGACTACTGTTTATTCTCAAATTTTACGTATAATATACGTAAATTTCAGGGATTTTCAGGAATTCAGGGTAAATTTTTACTAAAAATATACGTATATTTATCGCATATACGTAAATCTCAATTTTTTGCTTCCCGTATGCGTATATATTTAGTAAAAATTTACGTAAATTTCCCCGATTTTTTACTGTATATAAACGTATATATTAGGTAAAAATTAAGGTAGATATTCCCCGTATTTTACGGTACAAAAACGAATATATTTGATAGAAATTAACGTATATATTTCCCGTAATTTACGGTACAAAAACGTATATATTTGATAGTAATTGACCTAAATCTTCCCTATGTTTTCTTTGCATATGCGAATGACTGGTAAAAATTTAATCCGATGTATTCTCTACTTTACTGTGTATAAATGCACATTTTTTGGTAAAAAATTTGCATAAATCTCCAACTACCTTTTCACTGCATTTTTCATAAAATGTACTTATTTTAATCTCATATTTTTTATATAAATCTATGCGCAAAACTTTCTGTATGCTATGATTAAAAGGTAAAATAATTTTTATATCAAATTCTTACATATCTGCCTTTTAGTTATGTACAGCAATATGGAATATATATAACTGGAAAATTTAAATGCACTAGTAAGTAAAAAAAAAAAAAAAAAATTCTATTAAAAAATTACGTAACACTTAAAGGCTAAAAATGACTTTTAATATTTCATTTCAAAGTGACTACAAAATATGCAATAAATTTCATAAACATCAATTCTGTGTTTTAAATCAATTAATGCTATCGTTCATTTGCATTTTTGTTTACTAAATTCATTTCATAAATTTAAATTTAGTAAAAAACTGTAGCAAACAGTTGTTTACTAAATAACACTTTAAATAAATTATTTGCTTTTTCCGAAGGACATTTTCTTATGCCATGTAAATGAACGATAGCATTAATTGATTTAAAACATAGAACTCAGGTTTACAAAATTTATTGCATATTTTGTAGTCACTTTGAAATGAAATATTAAAAGTGATTTTCAGCCTTTTAGTGTTATGTAATTTTTGAATAGAAATTAATTTTTTTGCATTTAAATTTTCCAGTTATATATATTCCATATTGCTGTACATACCTAAAAGGTGGATATGTAAAAATTTGATATTAAATTAATTTTATCTTTTAATCATAATATGCAGAACATTTTTGCATAGATTTATAAAAAAAATAAGAGATTAAAATAAGCACATTTTACGAAAAATGCAGTAGTAAATAGGTAATTGGAGATTTATGCAAATTTTTTACCAAAAATGTGCACTTATACACAGTAAAGAGGAGAAGACATCGGACTACTAAATTTTTACCAAAGTCATTCGTATATGCAAAGAAAACATAGGGAAGATTTAGGTCAATTATTATCAAATATATAAGTTTTTGTACCGTAAAATACAGGGAATATCTACGTTAATTTCTATCTAAAGTACAATATAGTTAATTAACAAATTCAGTAAACGAATGTAGGACAAAAGAAAACATCATACGTTTAGATTATTTGAATGAGTGTGCTAAATTTTAAAATTGTTAAATATAGACCAGGAAATTGTAGAAAACTTACCTTTTCCAATAGTTTACCAAGTTGACTTTGTTATTTTCCTTGAAGATGAATGTTTAATGTCATAAATATTTCATTCATATCTTCAGATAATACACAAATATATACATATTTATTTATTAAAATTCAGTTTATCCCAAACATGTTAAAGAAAATATTAATTTGCATGCAAGTTAATCGAGTAACTTCTGTTTTAATTACACACACATAATTATGATATGTAAAAATTTTACATTTATCAGTCAATCTTGCAATGTATTGTAATCTATTATTGTTGTCTTTCTCAGTTTAAAATCTTATAAATATATTAGATCAGTACTAAAAGTTCACCTCTACAAAAGAAATGCTTTATTGAGGTATTTTTAAAAAGTTCCCTTTTACAATGTAACTGTTAATTTCATAAATAAGTTCATAAAATTATGCAAATTCAAAATTACCTAAATATGTTCTTTATTTTATCTTATATACCAGATAAAATTTTAAAAAGTTAATTTGTTTAGGAATATTGAAGTTTTTAAATATTTATCTCATGTGACTTTTTCTATAACATCATTATAAATGTACATGTTGATGTGGACATACCAATTATTTTTTTTTCATCAAATAGCTTTATGGTATTAAATGATTTAAAAAGAGGCAACTGGACAAAAGAAAGCAATTAGAAGTTGGCTAATTTTTTATTAATTTGTTGTCAAATGCTGTGCATTTTAGATTATGCTCATATGATGACAATGAGTTATTTAAATTATAAAATTATTATGAACATATCCCACATAAATTAACAAGTATAAAATTTCAAGTTGTTTGAAGTATTATGAACTGTAATACTTGCAAAAGAAATACACATGAAATTAATTTAAGAATTAGGTTTATTTTACAGGTATTCGAAAAACTGCAATTACTGTTAAACAATAAAAACTAACATTAAATCTGAAGAGCATATTTTTTTCAATAATAAAATTCAACATAGACTTCATGCAGCTTCGCCATATTTGTTCTATAGTTCGCTGTCTTTAATATCCTGCTCGATTTTTGTAAAAGTGAATTCTTTGTCACCCAATGTTTTGAGAACAGCTCCTAAACAAGAAAAAGAAAAATTTGTAATAATTTCACACTTCAGATGTTTTCAGTTTTTAAATATAGTTGAAGTATTAAAAGATGCATATAAAATGCACTGAGTATTTCATATTTAAAAATTTACATTTCAGTAATTAAAAATTTAATTTCATACTATCACACAGTAAGCTTCAATTATATACCTTACACAATGCCTATAATTTCAAGTAAAAAATACTTAAGATTTGTTTAGAACTGCAAGGTTGAGAAAGTCTTTAATGGCTATGTTTGTATTTAAGTACATGAGAAAAAACTTAATTTTGTATTAATTATATTGCATTAGCCTTTTCAAT